ACCAGCCACTTGGCTTCCCGCCGAAATATCGACCATATTTTATTGGGGGGTGCACTTCCTGTTGATAAAGCCTGGCTGACATCGATTTCAGCCGAAAGGGATCCGGTTTGCAACGGATTTCACCCATTTTGTGATTTCGAATGGATTCGCCCAGCTGAAGCTTCCATTGGCCAAGGGGTCTGGGATTCCAAACACCGAGGGCAACTCTTGGGTTCCACGGGACGTCGTTGCCAGGAGCACCTGTTCAAACCAGAAGGGCCCCTGTCGACTTCATGAAACCAATGGTGGGATGCCGCTTTTGCGGGCTGCATGTCAAGCGTCCGAGGAACGACCCTTGCATTGCTGCCATTCTGATTGATCGGATTTGGACTTGGGTTGTTTCTGTTGTGTCTTGCACAGGTTTCCCCTCAAAGGCAAGGAAGAGGCTTGCCAATCCCAAGGGTGGCAAGAGAAGGAGCCATGGCGCCCTGCCCCCTCGTGGAGTTCCATTTCTTTTTGCGGTAGGTTTGAATCCTCATTTTCGCGAAGATCCCAAACCGCCAAAGCTGCGCTTCTCTTTTCCGGGCTTATTTCACAGGTCACAGCGGGTAGGAGGATCTTTGCCCCACAGTTCAACGCTGTAAATTGAGAATGCTTGCCCCAACTGATTCGGGCTGTGTTCATGTTTCACGTATCTTTTTCTGGGGCAAAGCAACACGAGGGCGCTAGAAGTCCAGCCATACACGAGTCGGCAGCTTGCTGCCATGGATCAGCGCAGGCAGAGCTGATTCCCTCCGGTCACATCTGAATGTCACATGACCCCCCCCCCATCTTTTCAACTTCCAACATTGCCCGACCCTCAGACTACCCCCTCAAAAAGCAGATCTTGTCCCCAGAAAGTTGCAGGTCATTTCCCGAGCTACTCGTGGTTTCCCCCCCCCCCAAAAAAGGAAACAAGAAAGAAACAAAGAAAACACAACAACAACCACCGGTTGTGGGGGTGAACCGGTGAACCGGTGAACCCGAGCCGGCCCAAGCCTTGGGTCCCCGAGCTCCGTAGGCAGCTGCTGCGGCTGGAGCCGCCAGGAGCCCCTGCTGCTGACGCTGCCGGCGGAGGAGCGGCCTCTGGAGCTGCAGATCCAGGCGAGGATCCGGTCGGACGCGCCTGCAGCTCTTGCCGGGCGGGAAGTGCCTACGTACACGTCAGGTATATATATATATATATGTTATATATATTATATATGTACATGTATAAGTATACACACATATATATATATATAAGATATATCTATAAGATGTAGTGTATGTGCATAGTGGCATTTATTTTTGTGTTATCATATATATATATATATATACACATGCAGACATATACATATACATATATGTATATATATGTATATATATATATACATATGTGCGCCCGTATCTTTCTCCCTTTGAGGGCAGCTTTTTGAAGACCCACTTTGCGGTTGCCCATGTAACTCGGGGGCTTCCCTGCTGACCCTTTGTTTCAAGATCACAGGATGCGGGCGCAACTCATCTGACAGACACCGTGCTATCGATCTATTTGGCTTTGTGTTTGTGCTGCATACATCTCGCATGCGTTGAAAGAACCATAGCATGTCACATCACAGATTTGCACAGACAATTGAATCTACTAGATCCTCTATTGGATGCTCGTTGTTGAAGGAGGAAACACAAGCACTCCCTCACTGCTTTGGACGCTACACTGCTCTGCTTTGCTAGATTTGACTTGGTTTTCCGACCTGGTTGCTGCGGGGGGCGGTCATCGAGTCATCAAGCCACCCATGATTGTAGAGGAATCTCCTTCTAGGAGACCCTTTTGGGGTTTCATTTCAATTTCAGGGAGTAGATTGACCGGAAATCAAGCTTCGGCAGGAGGCGATGCAGTCGGGGGGCTTCGAGAACTACCACTGCCACTTCTGCGGGCAGACGGCCACGCTCCTGCACCAGCTGCTTGGATAGGATGGCCCCAGTGTTGGCCGATGCGGGTGGACGAGTATCCAGACATGGCCTCGCTGTCGCTCTCTCTCTCTCTCTGTGTCTCTCTCTCTGTGTCTCTCTCTCTCTCTCACTCTCTGTCTCTCTCTCTCTCTCTCTCTCTCTCTCTCTCTCTCTTTTTCTTCTTTTTCTCTCTCTCTCTCTCTCTGTCTCTCTCTCTGTTTCTCTGTCTCTAAGAACTTCCTGGCAATCCCGAGCACCCCCCCAGGTACGCTGAGCACACCGTTACCAAACGAAGGACACTTCGGCATATGTTGTTTGAACCCTAAGTTGTACCCTCCCTCCCCCTTGCTTGCTCACCATCTTCCGGGCGGCATCCATCAGGCCATAGACAAAATCAACAAAGCTTTGCAACCGCTCAACCAAGATCTGCTTCTTTCTTCAGAACCCATCAAGAACAGGTCCTTCCCATGGACGCAGCGCAGTTTGGGTGTCTCATTTTTTGACAGCAACTGCTTTTTGTTTGCTGTGCGTGTGTGTTTTCATTGAAAGGCCAACGCAGGGACACCTCACCCCGGTGCTCATCCGTACGCATCGAATAGGTTGAAGCTGGCAGACTGTCAGCAGCTCTGCGTGGAGATCCGGCGCTTCGCCTTCGTTGCGGGCGCCTTGCAACTTGGATTCAAAAGGGGCGACTAAACAAACAGGCCATCCTCTTGTTTTTGGAAAACAATACCCTTTTTGGCTTGGCTTCGAGGGAAAAAACAAGAAACCAACCATGTTGGGGAACGCACCATCTGCCTGCGGGGTCTCGGGGGGGGGGGGGGGGAGTTGCTCGTTTTGAGGTTTTGGGCGCATTGGGCGCGTTTTGGGTCCTAAGGGGGTTGCCTTGTTTTTGGTGGCATGGGGGGGGGGGTTTTGCAAAGGTGTGGAATGTTCATGTTCAAAGACGGGTTTGTCCTTGGAAGCATTCTTGCTTGGGCATGACCACCTGTGGCTAGCGGAGTGAGTCACAAGATGCAGGCCATGCATTTGATGCTCTAGTCAATCGCTGTGTTTCCCCAACGTTGATGGAGCGCACTTTTGAACCGTGGGTGCTTGCAACTCACATCCCGTCACAAAGTCTTTGCGGCTTTTCCAAACCTCCGAAACGCCGCTAGGTTCTCCAAACATGTGAACCCCCCCGGAACATGGTAGGTTTTCCTGTTTCATCTTGAAGCCAACAAAGTTGACATATTTCCCGGCCAAAAGCCGAAACACAGGTGTATATAAATATATATATATATATATGTATATATATATATATATATATGTATATATATATATATATATGTATATATGTAAATACTCCCCCCAAAAAAGCCGACGGCCAGTTGGACCTCCAAGAAATCGGTGGGGCGGTTGACCGTCAGGCAGATGGTGCGCTCCCCCATCGGCGCCTTCCCGCAGCGCCTGGCGCTGCCGCCGGAGCTCTTTGCCACGGCCAGGGCGGCGGTCTTCGAGCTGAAGGCGGGGACTTTGGCTTCTGGCTTCCCGCTTCTGGTTTCCTGCTGGTCTATCAACAACAAAAAGGGTTTCCCGTAACGGTTTCCTGCTGGTAAGTTTATCATCAACAAAAAGGGGGTACCAACTCAAAAAACGGGACACCGGTTGATGTCCGATGCGATCGCTGCGATTCGGTCGGGAAGGACCGATTCTCCGGGCGTTGGTTGAATAACCCGGTTCGGGATTCCTTTAAAGAAGCCATAGGGAATGACCCATTTTTTGGGTGTTGGTTGGGATTGGAATGAACCGGTTTTGGGGGATTCGATAGGTAGGGAATGACCAAGTTTCCGGGTGTTGGATTGGAATGAACCGGTTTTGGTTGGAGTCCATGGGTAGGGAACAGCCGTTTCGGGTGTTGGTTGAATGGACCTAGTTAAGACCATAGGGGATGATTTGTATAGGTCATTCCCTCAGATTGTAGGGATTCCCTTAAAGAAGCCATAGGGGATGGTGCATATGGGAATGAACTGGTTTTGGTTGGATTCCCTGTGGGGAAACTATAGGATGGATGGTTTGTATGGGTCATTCCCTAATTCCCTTGCCGTAGAAACAACTCAATAGGGAGTACCCCAAAATGGTGGGTTTGGGGGAACTTTATTGGATTCTGGGGTCATCTGTTGGGCGTGTCATTTTTTTAAGGTTGGGTCCCCCAAAATTTGCTTCGGGTTTCCTGTTGGTTTCCCGTCAGTATCATCAACAAAAAGGGGTCTCAACAAAAAAGAACACACCCATTCCCTTGCAGGTGCGATAGGGAATGACCAAGGTTCCGGGTTTTCGTTGAATGAAAAGGTGGGAGGGAATCCCGGAAAGGGAAAAACCAGCAAGCTTAGTGTGTTCGAACAGGGTTTCCGATCCATTTGCCCTTTTTGGAGCCACCACCTGGTGGCAGTTTCCATGGACCACCAGCAAATTTCCAGTGACCCCCTGTCAAAAAGGGAAGTCACGCAAAGAGGAAGCACCGTTCTTGGACCTGAACAAGTGGTTGAAGAAACCCTTGGATTAGTTGGGGTGCAACCAAACTGTAGGGAGTATGGTGGAGTTGGAACAAAAGGGAGCAAGTTACAAAGTTACAGGTCGTCTCCCATTCGTTCGGGGGAAGGTTTTGGGAAGGGCGGACATGGGAATGACTCACCCATCCCTGCTCTTACACAGTCCCGCTTCTTTGTTTGCCCAAAATTGGGCGTTTGGACTTTGCTTCAAGACAACTCCTTGTTTAGGGATAATTACCCTAATTCAAGACAACCTTACATCAAAGCAAAGCTTGCTTGTTTGCAGGGAATGTGGTTGAATGACCTCCTTCCAAGCATAAATGGATTCGTGCAGCGTTAATAAACCAGGCGGATTCATGGGGTGTTCCCAGTCCCCTCCGGTTCCCAGGGAATGCTCGGTCTGGACAAAATCCGAGGCGCTAGCACTCCACAACGAGGACCCAGATCTTGCGGCTGTGGGCTATAGCTCCATCGTGCGTGCCTCGCAAAGAGAGGTTCTTATTTTGCAGGCTTTTGCAGGAAGCGATGGGTGTTTTTGTTTCTTTCCAACATCCGATTGGTGTCGTGCTTTGGGGGGAAGATTGAGCTTGCAGTTTGTCATTTAAATGGGAGTTGACGCTTTGTAGCGGACAGTCGCAGCTGTAAATAGGTTTATTTATATGGGACTTGGGAAGACTCATTTCATGACTTTGCCAGCTGTGAGACGGACGTCTAGACGACCTCGCTTGAGCAATAATGCAGCAGAGGACGCTCCCAAACATAGAATACGTAGAGGCGGCCGGCCTTGTATTTTTATGTGAATTGGGAAGACTCCCACGATTCAGAGTTCTGTAATCGATTTTGGGGATTCTTTTATCTCCATCAGATGAGTCATGATGCCTTGGCGGGGAACCTCAAGCAAGTGGGAGTTAGCGACCTGTGATGCTTGGCCAGAGGTACGGTTCCCGGTGCTTATTTGAGCGAGCTGGTGTTGCACTCCACCTGCGCGCTAGAGGGTGCTTTTTTTTTTCCACAGAGACCGAAAGGCAGACCCATTTTTGTGGGGTGCCCCCATTTTGAGACAAGCACATGTGTTGCGAAGCACACAACGAAACAAAGCCGATACCCGGGTCCCTTGTGCGAAGCCACGCGCCTCGAGGCGCCGGTGGCCTGTGGTGGTGGCACCGCTCCACCGCGGTGGGGCGCCCGGTGACGGGTCACCCGCTGGGCTCGAGGTGGGGAGGTGCCACTCTGGCGGCCCCGAAGCAGGTGACCTGGGAGGAGCGTCTTCGAAACGCCTCTGGGGTCGCCTGGGTCGGGTGACTTAGCGCCTTGGCGCCTTTCCTTCACGTACGGAGAAAGGACACTCCTCTAGTGAGCCCATTTCAAGAGTTTTGGTTTTGCGGACTCAGTTTCTGCCCATTGGTGAAACAGAGGGTGATGCGGTCAAATACAGCTGGTTGCGAGGATTCGGCAGCCCCGTAGGAGATTCAGCAGCTGCGGCACATCGTCTACTACCTCGTCTACACGCGGGTCTGACGAAAAGCTTAGATAGCCAAAGAGATAAACAACTTGGAATGCGGTTCAATTGAATGTGAATGAGCCTTGGGCCTTATCCAAATCTTTCGGCTTGAGACCAGTCTACCTTTTGTGGCTACTTGCTTCCGCGGAAGGCAGTTTGATGTCACAAATCATCAGTACGCCCACGCTACGTCGGGCGCCCACGTGTACAAATGAACCTGACGCCTCAGCTCAGCTTGCCCAGAGATGGCTTGAGGCCGCCTTGAGCCTTGATGCTCGAAAGGCTTGGTCCAAGTTGTCAGCATGTTTCCGCAAAATACGCAGACAGGGTTGATCATTGCTTTTGACCTTTCAGCATGCCGGCTTTGTGCTTCCCTGTGAGCTGAGTGAGCTTTAGCCATCTTTCATGTCCTGGGAGCCAGATCGCAGTTGCCCTTCAGGAGAAACAGAGGGAAGGAGGGAAAGGCGGTGCGTTGGACGGCGCGCCCTTTTCAAGCCCTTGGTATCTGCTCTTTGGGGTCCACTGAGCTCACCGATTGAATGAAACAAGCGAGTCAGATGCCGGGCGCCTCGAGTTGAACTTGGATTTGAAGCCCTGCTTGTTCACGCATCTCAAACTCCCATGTCGAGGCAAAGGTCAAAACTCGCAGATCACCGGGCCGTGGCTTCCAAACTCGCTTGGATCCACCAATCCACCTGCGGTTGGCCGAAAGCAGCCGATGGGCGCTCCACGAAAAGCTCATCCTCTTGCGACTAAGTTGTCTATGTTGTGCTGAGTTGATCGTTGAGTTGAGAAAGGGACGGCCGCCCCAGACACAACACAATATAACAAACCCCAATGAAGCGTACACCGCTATGATTTGGTTGTTTGGCCTTGAGGCGAAGCATGTTTGCCGGCACTTTCTCATTAGACACGTGGGCATCGGATTGTTTAGTTGGCCACTTGTCACTGCCATTTTGTGCCAACCCAAATGTTGGGGATGCCCAACTTGGAATCGGGCGGGTTTCAACCAGAAAGCTTCCATTTTTCTTAAGATGTTTTTTTTTTTCCTTTCCCCCTTTTGGTTTCACAGGGGATGTGTCACTGCTGGACATATTTTTGAGCAAATGGAGCAAAGGCTACACTTAGAGATTCTATATTTTAGCAACACGGCATACCAAGTACCAGAGGTTCTTGCCTGGCTTACATTCAGCCTAGCTGCCAACTTGACCTGAGAAGACACATTCAAATGGGTCGCCAGCGTGGCGCCTTAGATCTGATTTTGAACTCGCCGGGAATTCCCACGATTTGCCTTGCTGCAGGTCCTGTTGCATTTGCCAAGCGACGCTGACTTTGATCTTGGGCTGGTGATGAACTTCAACAACGTGCCTTTGGGGCAATCTTAGTAGCCTCTAAGACCTTTTTGAGATCAAATGGCTCTTCCATCCAACCAGCAAAAGGTTAGACCTTTTGCTCAGGCTAGAATGTGCCGGTTAGTGTGTTTGTTTATCAGGTTTGTGTCTAGCAGGATGGAATGCATGCAGCAGAACCTTCCCGTACCATGAAGGTGGATGTTCACTTGCCCAGTGGAGATGGTTTCTGCATAGAAGTCTCACTGGCGACACTTATCAGCGAGCTGAAGGCTGCAGCGCAGCAGCAATTTCAGCGCCGGCTGAAGCTCACTGCGAAAGGCCAGCAGCTCGATTTGACGGCAACGGTGAGCGAAAGCGGGCTGGGAGATGGGGACGAGGTGGCTGCAGTTGCGCAGCTTGTCAAATTGACTGCCACTGCACAGTCGTTTGCTTTGCATTGGCACGGGCCCGAGGTTGTGACCTGGGGTGGTCCAGACTATGGAGGAGACAGCAGCCAGGTGCAAGAGCATCTGAGGAACGTCCAGCACATCCAAGCATCTGCCAATGGTGCCTTTGCTGCCATTCTTGAATCTGGGGCTGTTGTGACCTGGGGTCGTCCAGACGGGGGAGGAGACAGCTGCCAGGTGCAAGAGCAGCTGAGGAACGTCCAGCGCATCCAAGCAACTTCCAACGGTGCCTTTGCTGCCATTCTTGAATCTGGGGCTGTTGTGACCTGGGGTGATCCAGAATGTGGCGGAGACAGCAGCCAGGTACAAGAACAACTGAGGAACGTCCAGCACATCCAAGCAACTGCCAATGGTGCCTTTGCTGCCATTCTTGAATCTGGGGCTGTTGTGACCTGGGGTGATCCAGAATGTGGCGGAGACAGCAGCCAGGTACAAGAACAACTGAGGAACGTCCAGCACATCCAAGCAACTGCCAATGGTGCCTTTGCTGCCATTCTTGAATCTGGGGCTGTTGTGACCTGGGGTTATCCAGAATGTGGCGGAGACAGCAGCCAGGTGCAAGAGCAGCTAAGGAACGTCCAGCGCATCCAAGCAACTGCCAATGGCGCCTTTGCTGCCATTCTTGAATCTGGGGCTGTTGTGACCTGGGGTGATCCAGAATGTGGCGGAGACAGCAGCCAGGTGCAAGAACAACTGAGGAACGTCCAGCACATCCAAGCAACTGCCAATGGTGCCTTTGCTGCCATTCTTGAATCTGGGGCTGTTGTGACCTGGGGTGATCCAGAATGTGGCGGAGACAGCAGCCAGGTGCAAGAACAACTGAGGAACGTCCAGCACATCCAAGCAACTGCTTTGCTTTTGCTGCCATTCTTGAATCTGGGGCTGTTGTGACTTGGGGTCATCCAGAATGTGGAGGAGACAGCAGCCAGGTGCAAGAACAACTGAGGAACGTCCAGCACATCCAAGCAACTGCCAATGGTGCCTTTGCTGCCATTCTTGAATCTGGGGCTGTTGTGACCTGGGGTGATCCAGAATGTGGCGGAGACAGCAGCCAGGTGCAAGAACAACTGAGGAACGTCCAGCACATCCAAGCAACTAGCTTTGCTTTTGCTGCCATTCTTGAATCTGGGGCTGTTGTGACTTGGGGTCATCCAGAATGTGGAGGAGACAGCAGCCAGGTGCAAGAACAACTGAGGAACGTCCAGCACATCCAAGCAACTGCCAATGGTGCCTTTGCTGCCATTCTTGAATCTGGGGCTGTTGTGACCTGGGGCTATCCAGAATGTGGCGGAGACAGCAGCCAGGTGCAAGAGCAGCTGAGCTTATAGTCTGGTGCTGTGGCAGCCTGGACGTCGCAAACTGTGCGGAAAGAAAGGGTCAACAGCTTAAGTCCACAGTTGAATTCGGCATCCGAAGTGTTGCGTAGAGTTCAGATTTGAGATGTCCGAAATGACGTGAATACTTGACACTTGTACCCCCTAGACCCAATACCCGCATGTCGACCCTCCACTAAAAAAGGAGATATTTACCATGCAAGCCCGATCGGGTTTTCGAGATAATACCAACTAGAAGAAGTGGGTATGTGGAGTAGGGGGTAAGTTGACCAAACTTGGATGGTCAACCCACAATGGTACCTTCAGTTACACTGAGTTCGATGCCTCGTGGTTCCTTTTGTGGCACCGTGTTGGAAGCCTTTTGCGCTGGAACTGATGACTTGGAAGTACCTTGCAGAGGGATGTGTCCAAAATCAAAGCCATTTCTTAATGCGCTTTCCTTTGTTGTCGTAAGATGATGGGGACCCAACATAGTAGCTGTGCTGTGGTTTCGCTTTTAAACCAGCCAAACCAAAGCAGAGATATGGTTTACCCACTGATGATCGATTCACGGCATGTCAGTCATAGCAGGACGCTGACAACTGACAACTGACCACTGACCTGGGACAAGTGCTGATATGAATGGTCCACTGCCTCTTCCTTGGAGAACTTGTTGTGTTCCCGAGGCTGATGCCTACCCAAAAATCATGAGGTGTGGGTGAGGGGGTGTATGGGGGTGTATCGGGTATCCAGGTTGCCTGAGGGGTTCTGGAAAATCCAAATTCCGATTTTCGACAGGAGCACTTCACATGGCTCAGCTTGTCTCCTTGCGAGCGGCTCTCGGGGCCTGAGGACGAAGGTGGGCGTTTGGGACTGGGAGGAGCATGTCTACATCTTCACCGCACCGGCCTCGGGAAGTGGCTGGGAAGCTCTGAATTTGGGGAAGATGGACTTCGCCCCTAGCAGTGGCACATGGAAAGTACAAGCAACAGCAAGGAGTGACCCCGACTCTTTCGAGGAAGCTGCCGGGCAAAGGGTCCTTTCATGCCATGGCGTGATGTTTGGGGCGCGGAAGCTGTGCTCAGGCGGTGACGGCTCCGAACCTCAGCTCCACGGCGGGGAAGGGTGCACAGAAATGGCCAGCGGGCGGAAAGCAGAAGCCGTAACTGAGGGGTCAAGTGCGGCCATGAGAAAGTGCATGTCTGACTCCTTGCCGTTCTTGAGAAAGAGAGAGAGAAGGGAGACTTTGAGCTAGGCTACAAGGAGCTTCGGGAGGGTGACTTTGTGTCAGACTTCGATGCTGCCATAATTTTACTCATCCTCGTCTTGAAGGGGACTATCCCAAGCTTTTGCACACACACACACACATACACGAATCAGAGCTTACCTGAGGCTCAGTTGACATTGGTGTTCAAGATAAGCCGCTCTTTGCGCGACATTGCCAACTCGTTGTAAAAGTTTGCTGCTTTTGGGGGTCTTTTATCACCTACATGTGTACAACTGCTAGCTTTCACCAACATGGCACCAGAAGCTCGCAGAAAAGCTCATGGGTCTTCCCGACGCCCGTCGGGAGGTGCCAGTTTCCACCGCCGGTGCGATAGGAAACATCCCCTCAGAATGGAAGTGAGAGAGGGGCGTCCCACCTGAAATTCATTTGTTCCGTGCTCCAGGACAAATTCCATTAGGTCCAGAATTCCATTCATCCTTTGGCTTTTCATGGATAGATGGCATGGACTGTGAAATATATATATATATATATATATGTAAATTACACTACATTACATTGTATATATATATATATATTATGGAACTGTCTTCATGATCTCATGGAAGGATTGTTTTTTTCTTTCATGGACTTCGGCTTTAACAGTTCCTTGTTTGGATCGGAAACGCTCCTCATCCCGGCAGGTCTCCCTAGCAGAGTTGCACTCTGCGCTCGCCTCCGTGCCTCGGTGTTTCTGGGTGTTTCTGGGTTTGCTATCCCAACCCGTTGAAACGTGGAATCTTGGCTTAAGGGAATTCCGCCATTTGCGCGTGTCTCAAACTAGGTCACCCCCCCCACCCCGCAAAATGGCACCGGTGTCCTGTTTCTTAAACCCCCCCAAAAAGCCCCCCCCCCCTCCCGCTCCCCCATCCCCTCCCCCACCCCCCCCCCCCAAAAAAAAAGGGCAACGAGTTCCTTGAGTCTCTCTGGAAAAGCCCACCCAAAAAGCGGCGGGTTCCCCCGATTTTGGGACAGACCCACATCCAGTCCGCTGGGACATGGAGCTCCCCTCACTGGGCTTGACCGCCGCTTGGGGCAAACAACCGGGTGGGTTCCCATTCCACTCAAAGGACAATTGCAGTATCCTGGAATTGGAGACCCCTTCAACTCTTGGGTTTATCTACCAGTTGGAAAGAGGGCCCAGTTGGACTGGTGGGTCGTGGTGCAACCCATAGAGGGGCTCACATTTTGGGCCAGTATTGTTGGCCCCCTATTTCGGCCTGACTCGGTTAACGTTGATCCCGGAAGGTCGCCTGAGCACGGGTGCATCTTTTGCGACGGTAGTACATAGCAGTGAGCCCAAGGAATCTTCAAACGCGTTTCGAACCTTGTACGTCAGTATGAGCCCGGTAGATTCAGCAAAAGTTTTCCGCGAGTGGCCTGAGGGTATTTTGAGGAAATGGCTGGGAGCAACGGTTGAAGTTTCAATCAATTGGCCCTCTTCAGGGAACTCCCATGCCAGGAGTTCATCTTGGCAGGAAATGTGTTTTGTAGGTAAGGTGCTCGATCTGCTTCATGCACTTTTTGGGAGGAACTTCAGTTCAGCTTTGCTAGGCTGCCTAAACATAGTAGGGGATGGAGTAAACGGGCTTTCTCCCAGCATGTTGCCTACTAGAGGCCCAGGTTCCGACTCCAATACTGTGGTTTGACAGGGGCAAGGACGTTGCCTCGTTAGCTTGCTTGACTGCTATTGGTGGGTCCACGACCGCACTACTCATCGGCGAGCCACCCACAGGTTGCAGGATAACGCTTCTCGGTCGATGTGCCAAATGGAGAATCCTCAGACAACGTGTGTGATGACACATGCATACGGAGCACGTAAGGAATGTTTCCCAATATCAAGGGTACCTGCGAACGCCTGATCACCATTGTTTTCCTTCAAAAATCACCCAACAAGGGACATGCAACAACATATGAATCTTATACTTTGGTACCAACAAGGGCACGAAAAGACAGAGCCCACATCAGCCCACATCCATCATGTAGCACCAAACACAATTCGCGACAGACGGCGATACTCCGGACCGACAGCCATCATACAGCACCAAACTCAACGTGCGACAGACGGGGATAGTCCGAAACCAAGCGCAAAAAAAAACAGAAAAAAATGCATGTGCATTTCCCAAAGTGGATGAGGGGATGGGCTTGGAAAGGACGCTAGAGCACTCTTGAGCTCAGTCTGAGGCGAGCAAAGAAAGCCCCAGCTATCAACGAGCACTAGAAGTGGAGACGCTGGGGATGTATATAGAATGTCCCGCCCGATTTGTTGCAGGGATGCTTCCCTTTCTTGCCATTGGCTTTTTGCGGATATGTCTGTTTGTGTGTGTATTTTGTGTGCGCGCGTGTATGTGTGTGTGTGTGTCCACACTTCCCGCTGCCTGCACGTCTCATTACCAAACAAAGCAGAATCAAGTTTGATCAGGGATGGGGTTGTGGATCGGACGGGCAGAAGCTCACAGATTGCAACCGTGGGATGCAACACAACTAGGCGGCAGAATGTTGCAAGAACACAGCAAATACACGGGTAAAGAGAACAGGCTGTGGGTCAAAACCAATGGTACCATTTTGGGGTAGGTGCACCACCCATTTTAGTCTATTTTAGTGGGGATTGGGATGTTTACTGGGAGTACGATTTGGATTTTGACCCATCGCCATCAATCGCTAGGTTTGAGACAAAGCTGCGCTGAGGTGTCTCCGGTACTGCTCGTCGAGGAGTGGCAGCATCGCCTGGAGCTGACGCTTGACAGCGTTTTCTTTTTGGGAAGCTATGGGTCTGAAAAGGGAATAGGGACCACCTCAAAAGTGGTGGACATGAATTCCCCACCAAGCGGGGCCGGGGCATCAGGTCTTGTGGATGGACAAAATCTCACACCAGTCGGCAGGTGGTTTATCCCAGTATTCATAGGGGTTCATCCATCCGAACTGGATGTTGGCCCATAGTATGGGTTTGTTGAAAACTAGGGATCCCTTTGTCCGCTGGGAACACCCCCCCAAACCACAGTGCAGCGGTGTGTTTGGGGTTTCGGGGGTGGGAGGGGATGGTACTCTGCCCAAACAAAATCAGTCTTGGGTTCCCTTGCAACACACCAGTTTGGAACCGATGGGTGGCGATCGTATAATTTTTGAGTCGCCATGGGAGGTGAAGCCTGCAGCGGGTGTGGTGGCTTGTGGAGAACGACACATCAGCCATTTAGGGTGTCTCCAACAGGACGAAACACGCATGAATTCAGAGCACGTGGCTTGTCAACACCTCACACCTCCAGATGGCCAGGTTCCTAGGTTGCTTTTCAGGAGAGACAACCGGGCTTGGTTCCTCGTCTCGACAGGCAGTGGCCAAGGGGCCAAGGGGCCAAGGGATTCATGGCACATGCTCTCCATGATCTACCTGGTCTGACGGTATTGCGTTTTTCATTCACGGCGTTGCGTGTCCGTGTGCTCAGGACTTTCACGACGATGGACAAGGCGTATGATGCCCTGCAAGGTGAATTCCAGGCGAGCGAACTTCCGGCGAGCCTCAGACCGGCTCTCGAGGTGCTTCATCCAGGGAGACTCAACCACGCAGCTCGTGCGAAATTGGGTCTTGGGCATATCGTGCACGGTTGCAAAGCAAATGTTTGCCGGCTTCTGAGGATTTTGTGGTGATACGGTACGACGTTTGCTTCCAAGCCTAAATGCACACGCCTGCCAGATGCCCATGGACCTTAACAAGTTTGTGGTCATGGCCGGGTGCCTCAAGCGTAGGATTCGTCAAATTGGCTGTGATTTGTTGACGGAACCGAGGAGTTTTTGGGCCCGAGTTGTTTTTTGGCGGCTGGGTTGGGAGGACCGTTGTTTCAGTTGTTCTTGCTCTTCTCCGGGCTGGCTGTTTGGCTTCTGTGGCTTTTTGCAAGCTTTGGTGGCTTTGGGTGGCCTATTGACCCTCCCTAATCTTAAACCACGAAACCCTAAACCACAACTAAACTGATCTTAAACCCAGCGAAAACCAGAACTAAACCATCCCCACCCCAAGCCAACCCACCGCAAACCCTAAACTAACTCTAGACCTTCCCTATACAAAAAACAACCGTCCGCCAACCCCCTTTGAGGTTTTTGTAAGAGAATCCAAATTCAAACCAGCCGTTCGCAGGTTTCCCCGAGACAAAAGACAAGTTCTGTGTGATGCCCAGGCTCAATTGAGCTGGATCGAACAAAGCGAGCTGATCCAACCGCCGCAGGTTCCAAGGAATCTCTGCACAGATCCCCAGGTATGAATTGGAAGTACCCGCTGTTTCTGCGGCATGCCTCGCTGAGGCCGGCGAGAAGTGGAACATGACCTCGAACGAGGCAAAGAGGCTTGACCAGTGGTGGGGGAGCAGGCTAGCAAGAGGCTCCCTATCGCCAGAGGCCCAAAGAAGCGTGTTTTGAAACGGCATTGGTTCTGGGTAGCAAGGTGATTCATGGGGCAGCTTTGCGGTCAGAGTTGATTTTTTTGAGGGCTTGATTACACTATTTAATTCGCCGCGCGGAACCAATGCTTCCCTGGATATTCAAGGGAACTGCCCCAAACTATTCCCCCGGTTGAGACCTGCAACGCAAGCTGCAAGGTGGACCATCCCTTTGATTCGGCGGCATTTGTTCCAAACAACTTGAGGTCTGTGTGTGTGTGTGTGTGATATGGAATTAATGGGTTGGCACGCTTGATTCCCTAACTGCGGCAAACCGTGGGTTGTCCACTCGCAACGTGAGTGTGCACTTTGTCAGCCTCAGCTTTTCAGCCCATCTTCGCACCGCACATTTGCTCTTGAGGCATGCCTTGTCAGGTAGCGCCATTGAAATCATGGGAGCGCTCGCTTGGGCTGTGCCATGAAACCTGGAGATACAATCCAAGCATTCCACAAGCCACTTTTGCTCCATGGAGAGTGGCCTCTTGGTGGATTTACATGAGTTACCGGCTTAGCATTGTGACATGTTGGCAGGTTCTTCCGCCTCTGCGACTTCGACGCCAAGGAGAAGATGACAAGGACCGACGGAGAAGCCGAGTTCCCCGCGGATTTTCTAGTCAAAAAATGAAGTGCTCTTCGGGTCATGCTGATCCCTCGCAAAAAATCCGGTGGCTTCACGTGCCCCCTTCTCCCGGCCTATGGATGGACAGCTTCCGTTGGATCGATCACATGCTCTTGGGACCAGTCACGAGTGCTGCGTATGCGAAATTAGTGTTTTTTTTTTTTTTTGGGGGGGGGGGTCATTTTTCCGCCTGAATATATTAGCCCCGCCACAATTATGCTTAACATATCGTATCAATGGTGTATACTCGAGGCAGGTATTTCGCACGACCGAGTTTTCCCGAAAGGCGCAACCTTAAGTGCGATTCCATGCTTGAATTACACTTTGTTTTGTTTGGCGGCCGGAACAAAGAGCATCTCAAACATTATATTTGTGGCAGAGGCTGCCTCGCTCGAGGAATTCTTGGCAGATGGAGTGGCTGTCCTCAGAACTGGTTTCCATTCAGTAGTTGTGAATCGAGACCCACGGGGTTTTCTCAAGGAGCAAGTTCCTGTCCGTGATGGAGGTGGTCAAGCCCTCCCTACGCCTGGAACACGTGAGGTGGGCGCGGGGCGGAGCTCGCGCGCAACGCATTTCCGCCTTCGTGGATGACAACTCGAAGAATTGGAGCGGTTTCAACTTCGCCAAGAGGGTTGCGACCTACCCATAAAGCCGAAAGCTGTCTGGGGTGCCCTTCAGGTTGTTGCGAAAATATGATCCACCGAGATGATGACGATTGGGTTTGATGACGTGTAACTGTAAGGCTGCAAACAGCCGGACACATGCTGCGGACGGGGGGGGGGGGATTGCCCAGTTTACTCCAAGCCCCATTTAGAGAACTTCGCTGGCCAGATCGCTCCCTTGTACGTATGGATATACTGGACCATGCTTGCTGTTTGGCAGTCAATTTTTGTGGGTTCCCTTTGTTTCTTGGAGGGGTTCCTGGTTTTCTGCTGGCCTCAGCAACAGATAGAAAGTGATTCGGACCAGCAGTGTGGGAGGACAAATCATTCCAATCAACTTTTGGTCAGCCTTCAATCAACCTCCAGCCTCCAAGGAGCCTCCAAAAAGCCTTCAATGAACCTCCAAGGAGCGTCCACCAAGCTTGCAATAAGCCGCCAAACAGCTACAGTATCTGCCACCATTGCCTCAGGAGCAAGCTGCGCTGCCACTATAGCAAGATGCTGGGCAAGATCCGCGGCGTCAATCGCCAGGCACTTTCGTGTTTCGGATAGCGGGCTGTGCGGGGGTTGGGGATCAAGAATGTTTGGCACCTTTGTGGGGTTCATTTCCTTGGAGCAGTTGCAGTGTTGTCTAAAACTATTGGCTGCAACACGCTTCGATCGCACATGATTGGGAGCACAAGGTGTTGTCGGGACCCACTGTTCAGTAGATAGACTTGCCAGATGAAAGCTGCGAGACACGACTTTGGCCAAATGTTCTATGACTTTGCTCGTTGGCCGCAGGCAGATCCATGCCCTTTGGAGGGTCAGTCCCGATTTGGGCCCCACCTTGTTCCCCTCCCCTGCGGGCCCACTTCTCGCTGAGAAGGGCGAGATACATTGGTCACAAAGGCTCAAGCTTCTGAGTTTGAGCACGACCATCCAGGTCTGCCAAGCTTCAGTCGAACCACGCCCGAGCACCGAGTGCGGGCTGCAAGCAAGACCCCCTTCTTTTCATCCCCATCTTGCGTGAGGGGGACAGTCAAAATCCGACGCCGATCCAGGCCGCCCTGGAGCAGCTGGTGCCTCTGATCTTCGCAAACTTTATGCAGCGAGGGGGCCTGGTTCATTCGAACGGAACGGGCCCGGGGAGTGCGAAACTTTCCGGGGGCAAACGTGGCTTGAAAAGCGGGGCTAAGGGAAGCCACGCATTGGGGGGTGGGCCAACTGGCCAACCCCCCCGCCTTTGCTTTGATTTGTGTCACACACATTTTTACCGCCACATGCACAGCACATTTGCCTGACGGCTTCGGACTGGCCAAGCTTTGGTCTTGTTGGACACAGCTCAGTTTTTATTTTATTTTTATTTTTTATTTGTTTTAAAGGAAAGACAACAAAAGCACCCCTGCATCCAAAGGTGCATCTTCCAAACACCCATTACACCCATTCTTTTCCCGGAAATTCCCGGAGAAAAAAAACGCAGCCAAGTCGGCATAGGCATTTGGAGCAGCCGACGCGGCGGCGCAGCCGTGTGCCGGAAGATTATCAGAGGCCAGGTGTGATTTGTTGGAAGATGCCCCCCCCCCAAAAAAAAGAACAGAGTGCAGGTTGTGTTTGCAGGGATGTCAAACTGGTCCCAAGGCCGCAAAAAGACCGTGGTAGACAGGGCATCCACAAATCTGGGCGAATGATCCGCACATCTTGTGGCGATATTATTCAGTTGTGGTCGGTGACGAATTATGGCTTTAAACAAATGGATTGGTTTTGCAACATTTGGGCTATTTTAGGTCTGGCAGGGATGTCGCGGGATCTGGCTTGGGGGACGTCGGTTTCGGACCCAAGGAACCGTATCTTCGGCTTGCGCAGTTCCACCCGATTCATGTGGAATTCCTGGACAGGTGGGTGGTCAGTCATTGCTCAAGTGCCTGAGATATTGCATTGCTGTAGGCACCAACGATTTGGGCATGACTGTGCATGTGATCTTCAGAAGTAGGACGAATCACATGCTTGAGACACAAGACATGTACTTGTGCTCTACTAGCATTTGCTGTTCAGTTGGCTCACCCAAATAGTGAGTTGGGTCAGGGCAAGGGCAGCTTTGGGCACGTTGTGGCCCTTGATGGCTCTTGACATTTGCAAACAAGTAGCTGATAGTCACCAATGGGCACTTGCAGGCTGCCATGGGTTGCCTTGTTTTTGCTCCAAATCACACTATGCAGTTTTAAAGCGGCCTTAATTTGCAGATGAACAATGAACGTTGGACAGAACGGACCCCCGTTACTCTTGCGAAAGGCTTGCAGCGAAATGGCCAAATGGCCAAACGCCAGCTTCGCCCAGGATGTTTGACGAGCTGGTACTGACCCACGAGGCCGTGTTGAACGCCGGCATGTATCCGCATTCGGATAAACATCGATGTATCCAAACGCACAACTCGAGAATGAGGGCCTTTAGACCTTCAGTTCAAACCCCACTGGCCCAGGAACACATTAGTGCACCTGTTTGACTGGGGTGCAAAAGAAGCGAACGACCTGTGCATGCCGCAAGCAAATCCGTACTCAGATTGCCCACAGATGCAGTCCTAGGGAATGGTGAAGCTGTTCCTTTTGTCTGCGGATGCAATGAAAAGCTCCAGGATGATCACTGTAAGAGGCTTGCCGAGTGCTAAACATGCAGCAGTTGTACTTACTTATATAGTATACATGCATATATACACACATGTATATATACGCATACACATATATATATATATATATATATTATACACGCATACATATATATATATATACATACACACATGGACACATGTGGAATGCCTATGTCAGTGGAATGTTGAAGAGATCACTATTTGACAAATGTAGGATATTATGTTACATCTGGGAGAGATGAACTTGCCTCAGCCTGGAGACCTGGCAATGAGAGAGAGAGAGAGAGATCTTCAGGGAAAGCGCCTGCATCTTATAGCTTGCTATAGCGATCCTTCTTGCTTGGGGGGGGGTAGTCGACCGGTGTCTGCCGTTCGAGCGGCACGGCCTTCGCGCCGGGCCGAGTTCAGGACATGACGCTCCTCCTGCAGCTCTTGGTGCGCTCAGCGAGTTGGGCGGGTGCCAGGGAGGCGCAAGCCTTGAAACAAATCCTTAAGGGGCGGCCGGTCAGTGCCAAGCTGAGCTGCGCCTTCAAGCGGATGGATTCGGGATTCTGCGGGAGCCCTGCCATGCCGTGGGTTTCTGCCGGAGTTGGGCCGGGGGCTGGTTGCAAGCGCCAAAGATGCCTTTAGAAACGTTGGAAGACTTTTTTGGGGGGGGGACTTGTGCAGCAAGCCTTTGCTGGTAGGGTACTTCTGTCAGCTGTTCCTTTGGAAGGCTTGGGGCTGGAGCATACAGGGACTCAAGGTTTCAGAGTCGTCGCCCTTCTTTCTTCAGTCACTTGGATACATTCTTGGTGTCATTGGCGTAAGTGAGTGCTGTTGGTGTAAGTGAGACTCTGAGAAAGACGCCGCTGGGGTTATTGATGGCGTGACTCACAGCTTCTCGTAGGCGCCAAGGGAGCAGGAGCCCAGCAGCTTCTGGCACATGCTCAAGAACTTCGCGCCCTCCGTGGCACGGGGCCCCGGGGAAATTCTCGAGGGCTCGGTCCAGCACCTCTTGGGCACTCGGCCTTGCCGGGGTGGCAGCTGCAACAAGAGAGACCGTGAGTCAATGACGAAGGTGAGGGCAAGAGAACTGGTTTTCTATTTGGGTGTGTTTGCGTGTATGCGCGCGTGTGTGTGTGTGTGTGTGTGTGCGCGTGTGTGTGTCTCTTTGTCTCTGTGCATGCCTGTGTATGTGTGTCTGTGTGTCTATGTGTGTCTGTGTGTGTGCGCGTGTGCGTGTGCGTGTGCGAGTGCGACTGCGTCTGTGTCTGTGTCTGTGTGTGTGTGTGTGTGTGTGTGGCTGTCTGTGTCTTTCTGTCTGTGTGTGTGTCTGTGTGTGTGTGTGTGTCTGTGTGTCTGTGTGTCTGTGTGTCTGTGTGTCTGTGTGTCTGTGTGTCTGTGTGTCTGTGTGTCTGTGTGTCTGTGTGTCTGCTGTGTCTGCTGTGTCTGCTGTGTCTGCTGTGTGTCTGTGTGTGTATGTGTCTGCGTGTGTCTATGTGTGGTTGTGTGGTTGTGTGTGTGTGTGTGTGTGTGTGTGTGTGTGTGTGTGTGTGTGTGTGTGTGTGTGTGTGTGTGTGTGTGTGTGTCTGTGTGTGTGTGTGTGTGTGCGTGTGTCTGTTGCGTGTTTGCGTGTGTCTGCGTATGTGTGCTTATGTGTGTATGTGTGTATTTGTGTATGTGCGTATGTGTGTTTAGGGTATTGTTTTGGGGCTGGTTGGAAGGGAAACTAAATGGAACGCCAAAGCCATTTTGGGACCCAACCCCCTTATCGCTATTTTGAGAGACATTCCCAATTCGCATCTTCCCAGCTGGCGCGTGGAAAGGTCTTGGAGGATCTTTGCCTTCTCAGCGTGCGCATCACGAGCACCCTCAGCAAGGAGACAAAGGAGGCGCGCCGCAGGCATTTTTTGACACATGGACGACCATTACCTGGTTTAGAGGGTTTTTTGTTTGCTCTGGGCCGATATTTGCGATTTGTCTCCCCTTGGCCAAGCTACACCTTCTACATGGGCTTGTTCCCTCACTGAGGGGCCAGCTGAGTGTTCGTTGACTCGACCGCCAGGCCCAGAAGTTGCCCTCGTGGCAAGCCAGGCAGGATTTGTGTTGGATGCCTACGCAGGTGTCAAATGGGGGAAAGGCTCGCCGCGGATGGACATTTGCAATCATGGGTGTAGGATGGGCAGCAGAGGTGGAGCTGGAATTTCCAACACCTTTGGCCATGTTACTCGAAGAAGAAAACACACTGTGTGTATACATGTGTATATATATATATGTCTTGTTTTTGTGGGTGTGTCTTTTTAGGGGACTGCCCAAAATGGCGGTTTTCCTTTAAAACAAACCAAGCAGAGAAACCTCAAAAACGAACACAATCACTATGGTGGTATACCCAAACCTTCAAAGAGTCCTTGGCCGGGGAAGCTATGTCACCGCGAAGCAGAGTGGCGGAGCTTGTGGCCAGTTTGACTTGCGGCTATTGGAATTTCGGCCTGGTTCGAATTGAGGGGGCGCTTTGTTTGGCACCAAACCAGCTTTTTCCACCCAAACACGGGTGGGCCGGGTGAAAAAACGGACAGGTCCCCATTTGAAGCGACCGCCTTTGCAGGCTCAAGGATAGTTTTGGGGCAGCGTTGAATACATGTCCGTGCCGGCTCTACGGCCTGCGCTTGGATCAGATTTGGTGCCCTGCTTTTGGTTGAAGGCTTCGCTTTTTCCCAAAAGCATCTCTGATGCTTGGGTTCTGCTTTAGGTTTTCTCTTAAGGTGCCTGGGAGCGATACAAGCTGTGACGACGGAGATAAGAAGGGATTTCCATTTCGTTGTGCTGCACGGCTGGGGGTGCAGACCGGGCGTACGAGGCTGGGTGGGGGGACGGCGGTGTGGGGCTGGC